TAGATTGTTGCTCGTAATAAGGATATCATCCATATTTAAGATGAGAATGACAAACTTTGAACCATGATAAAGATAATATACATTGCCATCAACTGTCAAATTTACAAATCTAAGAATGGCAATAAATGTGTTAATCACCTTGAATCATTCTTTAAGTGATTGTTTTAATTCATAAATGATTTTGTGAAGTTGACACACCATACCAAGTTATAGAAAAATGACTCCTTTTGGGATCAAGTTGAATTACCAAAGTAAGGATGAGTTGAATTGATTGTTTGCAAATAACTACTAAGAAGGTTTTAGTGTAGTCTAAGCTTGAAATTTGGTATAATTCATATGCTTCAAGACGTACTTTGAAGTGATTCACTGCCTTAAAACTTTTGAGCTTGATTTTGAATATCCATTTATAAGTGATAGACTTGAGATGAGTAGGAAGCTTGATAAAAGTCTACATAGCATTGAATGTATGAGAATTAAGTTCTTATGTAATAGCTAGCTTCTATTGAAATTCCTTTGAGAAGTTGATAGCTTGAATATAGTTGATTGGTTCTAATGGCATTATAAAAATATTAGGAGAGTTCAATGGAGGTGGATAGATTTACTCAATTTGGAACAAGATTTTAATAAATTCAACACATAATGCTTAGCAAGATCTTTTAGTGGTAATATATTCTTATTTTGGCTAGATGACATACGAATAAGAATCAAGGCAATTAATGCGAGAGTTGGAAGCAGAGCATTAGAATTAGAATCATAAGTAGCTATGATTGGTCAAGAAGACTGAGTATACTTATCGAGATGCAACATTAGCTCAAGTCTTGATTGAAGGTCCTATATACATTAGATGGAATTTATACCCTCTTAAGGAGATGGCTAAGACAAAGACATAGTAGCCACATGATTAATATTGTGTAGAAATGGTGATTGGAGTAGACCAAAATTACTAGGCATAAAGTGCAATAGGATGTGTTGATTTGGAGAACCTATAGCAAGATGAAATATAAGATGTTTAGATGAAACATCAATAGGTAGGACTTCAAGACATCCAAAGAAAATGTCAAGGTGATAATTAGATTCAGTCAGTAGGAAATCAAGTAAATTACATATCAAGAGAGTAAGATCAAAAGTATTAACTAAAGGCTTTAGAATTGAGGAACTTATGGGTTGATAAAAATAAGGATCTTCTTGGATTTTGGAGTTAGTGAGATTCATGGGATGGAAAGCAAGAAGAAGATGAGAAGTAGGCTCTTCTTAAAATACAATATTTAATAAAATAATAATTTTACCATTTTTGATTTGTTGAATCTTATATACTTTATTGAAAGAGTTGTAACCAAGTAACATACACTCTTGAGTTTTATTGTTAACATATAATATATTAACAATAAGCTTAGCATATAATATTTAATATATATTTTATAAATATCCTAGATTCTTATTATTTATAAAACAATGGCTATCAAAGACATAAAAGTGAGTAATATCTGATTTTCTTTTATACTATAGTTCAAAAGAAATAGTGTCATGCAAAATTACTTTTATATGACAACAATTGTAAAGATATGTAATGCATATGATAGCTTCTCCCTAGTATGGTTTTGATAATATGGCGTCATAAAACATATAATAAGTAGCATTAAGAAGAGTGTAATTTTTTCTTTTAGCAATGTCATTCTGACAGGGAATATAAATTGTGGTGAATTAGCATTGAATACAATGAATTTCTAAGTATTGATCAAAATTATAAGAGAAGTATTTTCCTTCTTGATTAGAGTAACAGATTTAGAATTTGTAACCTATTTGAGTTTTAGCCTATATATGAAATTTTTGAATACATAGAAGCTTTCACTCTTGCGACGAAGAGGCCAAAGCACAAAATAATGGAAGTAATTATCAATAAAGATAATATAGTTTTCAAACCTAGAGAACCTTGATATTGTAATGTAGCTACTTAAATCAGAATGAACCACTTAAAGAGATTGTTTAGTTTAATTTGTAGTAGCTTTAAGAAATTTTTTCACAATTTACTTCCTATGAAGACATGTTGGATATAATTATTGGAGGATCCATTTAATTTATAATCTAATAATAATATTATTAGTGACTAATTATTTCAAGTATTTTATATTGATATGATCTAACCTACAATGTCATAGGTTGGAAGAGATGTGTGCTAGACCAAGAGCTTTATTAAACTAATTTGTGCCGTTTTGTGGCTCCATTTAACAAAGCCAAGTGTTGATGGTTGTCGATGATTCAAAATACTTTTTAGTATAAAAACTCCAAATGCCCATATATAAGAAGAAGATAATGTTTTAGTTGGATGCCTTTTACATCAAAATTTGATAACAATCCTATGGAATGTGGCCATAGTTTAAGAATAAGGGTACTAGATTCAAATTGTGTATAGTAAGGTAGGTGAATTTTGTCAATCTGATTGATAATAAGATTAATTTAAATATTATTAATTTATAATATTGTATCTATAAAGAGATTTAAATTATTTTGAAGCAAAAATGAGATGATTGTAAAAGGATCTTATACAAGAAATTGATACATATATATATATATTATTAATATGCCACTTTCTTGTATATCATAGTCACTAATGCAAAACAAATTTTTATACAAACTTGGAATGTAGACTATATTAGTGACCCAAATAGTTTGTTGATTGACCATAGAAATTTCAATATTATCTTATCTATAAATAAGAATAATAATATCATCTCCAAGATGAACTTTATTTTTTTCCGGTGATAATTGTTCAAAATTAATAAATTGGTTTTTTTTGTAAGCTAAGTGATATGTTGCTCTAGTATCAATGAATAATTTTATATCTTTTATTGTTCTTGATTGTGGAGATTTTTTTTGAAAAATATGCTTGTGTAAAATAAACATGAGTATAAAATGATAGAAGAATTTCCTTTATAATTTTTGACTTCCATTTTGATTTCTATTATTATAAATTGTGGTTGCCATATTTGCAAAAGGTTTAAATTTATTGTTTTTTATAAAACACTTTGATCCCCAATGTCCCATCTTTTTGTAATGAGGACATAAAGTTGTTGGTTTTGGCTTATTCTTTGAATTTTTATAATCTTTTTGTACTTGTTTTGTAATAGAATGTATTTACCACTTGCCTTTAAATTCAATAAAGAGTGCTTGTGATTTGGAAGAAGAGATATTCATTGTGGTTTCTCATTGAAATAAAATAGAAATCAATTTTGGTAGGATTTTCATTTGAATAGTATAAAGAATTTGGATAATTGTGCTATATTAAAATAGCATTGACCTCATTAGTATGAAGATTTCCATTTGATTTAGAATTATTATTCCAATGGAATGACATTGTTGTAATAATATTTTAAAATTATGTAAGTAATGTGTTACTAATTCTTCCACTTTCATTTTTTGTAGATAAGCTTAAGTGACAATGTCACTTGTAGAATATGTATTTTCAAGTACAAGCTAAGATTCATTGGCTATTTTGCAAGCTCCTACGTGGAAGTATATGGAATTATCTACACAATCCCATATGGCTATTAGTGCTTCATAATCTCTCTTTTTCTATGTGGTGATTGTAGCTTAATTTGTTGGTGGTATTAATGTTGCTGCATAGTTTTTTGGAATAGGTACTAGTTTGTTTTCTTTGCCAAATACTAACTCCCATAGTTCTTCCATTTCAAACTTCATTTGGATTTTTTGTTTCCAAACTGTACATCAAGAGTCATCAAATTTTGGCCATTCTTTGGTTGACAGGCTAGTTGTAGCCACATTGAAGAGAAGGTAAGTTTATTGGTGCTCCAATTTCTGTAAAAAATGTCTTTGATATAGCTTCCTTTCCTTGTGATTGTTTATTGATTTTTTGTAACTTCTATATCAAAATTAATAGAGTTACGCTCTGATACCATAATAGAATTATAGATGAAGTGCGTACTAAAAATATTATCGAGTAATTTTCAATGTGTTCTGTGAGGTACATGAGTTATTCAGTCGAGGGAGGTGAGACTAGAACGTCGCGACGTTCTCTCAGATAGATGAAAGCCTGTTACACCTAAAACTGTAACACCTACCAAAATGGTTAACGATTATTCTGTTCTATAAGGAAGCCCATAAGAGCAGAGATGTAGCCATTTCACCAGCTCAGTGGTCCAGTATGCGTGAAGGCGAAAAGCTCACCTACCACGACTCTGCAGCAGCAGAGTTGAAACCTCTCAGCAACCAGTCTGCAATTAGAGCTTGTCTCTTCCCAAAGATTCGCTCCATAATTGATACGATCAAAAGACCACTTCCTGTGATGAACGAATGTTGCATGCTTGAGGTTCGCGTTGAAAAGTTATCGGATTACACCAACCTTTCAACTTGAAGTTGCGCATGTAAGTGGGCTTTTTGCACAACCAACATTCCACAAGCGCAAGAAAGCTAAAACCTCGAAGACGGCGGCATTCTTAATAGGGACTAAATTTGCTCTTTAGAGGTGCGCACCTTTAACTATCTAGATCCGTCTTATAGGTTACAGGTGATTGTGCATCAACTGCAGTATTGTGAAACTTTCGATTATGTGAAGCATTTTGTCTAGCTTCATGCATTTAGAATGTCGACAACAGAAAGCCAATTCAACAGAAAGTCGAAAATACGATCTCTCTCCTTAACGCAGGGAATACATTTGCAAGAGTTTAACACAAAACATTGTAAATGCTCGGGAAAGTGGAGCACCTGTGAACACCAAGTCCACTAAGATGAAAGCTTCTACAGCGACTGTGATTGCTGCCATTCCGACCAACACATGACACTCTGACTCCGATGAGACGACGTACCTAGCGCACTAAGTTTGAGTAACTTGGATACATAATATCATGTGTGAGGATGGAAACGGAAGCAAGCTTGGACCAGAAGCATGTTGTTTCATATGCGCGAATTGGGTCGGTAGGGTCCGTCGCGCAGTCATCACTTTGTTCATCCAACAGGCTCACTTCCACGTTTCCTGACATGAATACATGATGCTCACTATCGCATTCTTTACTAGTAGGGTTTCGATTGTGATAAGTCCACTTTACTGTAGGAGTTGAGATCGAGTTGGCAACCCTTGTGAACCACGTGGTATCACAAGATTAAGCAGAAAATGCTTTTATACTGTGATGCAAGATGTGACTGCATATCAAAAGTTGATCACGGCCTTGAAAATCCGCAGTATTTCAAGGTTTTGCACTATTCATGCCGTGTAATAATTAAATATCTGAGACCCATTCAACTGGACTACTCTGGTGGAGCGTCAGGAATGACGTACTGAGAATCTTGTAGTCCAAGGCTGGTCCGCAGTCACATTGGACTGCACTTTGGCTGAAGATTTTCTCCGTTTTCAGTTTGTTGCTCAACTTGATGTCGCACACTGCAGATCCTGCAAATTGATGACGTAATCGGTCTGATTGATTTGGCTCATGGTGGTTTCAATGAAGGTTGTTAGCGACTAGGGGTTTGAGTTCCTCGCCAAGGTTGAGGAAATCGAGTGGATGAGATGGATCTCCAGTCGTGGAAGGAGTGCTGCTTGGACGAATTCCCCGAGGTGAAGTCATTCGAGAAGTTCATAATGACAAAGTCTTCTCCTGATACACAGGTAGATGGCTCCAGCGAAATTCTTGACATGGAAGAGCGCAAGTACCGACACCTCTTACGAGAACTCAAGCGGGAGCCCCTGATTGAGAGAAGTTGCATTCGTGAAGCGGTGAAGGCTTCTAGCACAGACAACTATCCCGAGGAGAGTATCGACCAGACCTTGTACACCGAAGGCGTCCTCTCCGATCAGCAAACACCATCGTATTGGTCGAGTTCGGGGCAGGGGGATGTGAATTGGCCGGAGACTCTCACCTACAACCTGGTATCGGATCTTTGTGTGATCTATGAGGTTCGCATTCACCCCTTCCGAGGTACATATTGCTGAAACCTCCGATCTGTTTCATGGGTATTGTTCCATGTGTCGAGTTTTGTTGTCTAGTTCCACCTCTTTCTTTGTTATGTTGAAGATGGCCAATTTGTTGCAGCGTTTTTTCAATTTGGCCAGCCCATATACTCGGCCAAGAACGTTCGCATTCGTCATGGCCATGCCATTAAATCATCACCAACACCTGAGAGTGCTTCTGCAATAGAGGTTCCCTACGTGTGCACATACGAGTCACCAGAATTCGCCATGGAACAGGTTTTTTCTCGTCTTTTGTTCTCAGGTAGCACAGGGTTTATGTTTCGCTGGGTAGGAATCACGTATCCGTAATATTTTGTTTTTCTTAGACTTACTTGGTACGAATGGCATTGAAAATATTGTGGCTCAACTTTGTTGATGTGCTTGGTCATGGTGTGAAGGTGGATTCCTTGCAAGTTTTCAAGTTACCACGGCCTATTCTGTGCATTGGAGGTGTTATGCAAGTGGAACTTCTAGGTCGTGTGCAGACTCAGCAGATGGACAATCTTTACTACATCTGGTACTTGTGCCCCCGAATTCTTCACCACGTCAAGTTATGTATGTGTCTAAGAAACCTCGTCTGTGTATGTGCTTGACGAATTGACGAAGTGTGTCGTTTCAACAAAGCATGCAATTTTCGGGTACTTTTTAGAGAATTTGTGTGAAGCTCACCCCATTGAATATCTTCGGAAGAGAAGCATCTGGTAAAAGCAAACTTCATGAACAAATTGTGGACTTTGTGGGTGGGTGATGGCAAAGGTTTTTCTGGGACTCGGCAATGCACTAAAGTTTTCTGAAAGGTTGTATAGCGAATATATGTGTGAAGGTTTTCTCGTCTGCGTTTTTTGAATTTTTGATTTTTGAATTTTTACTTTATTTTCCGCAACTCTGTCTTTGCCTGCATTTTCTTTCTTATCACATGGGGATTACAACTTGGCTGCATGTGTCCTCAGCATACAACATGTAAGCGTGGTAGGAAGGCCACTGTCTGGTTTCAAACTCCACCCCTTTGAAGAGCAGCGTAAATTTACACTAGAGTATTGTGGGCACGACAAGCTGCTTGAGCCTGATAACGTACCGTATCTCAGCAGCGGTAAAGGGAATCCGACCCAATTTAGGAAGTTCCAGGGAACGTCGTCCCAACCGAATCTTAAGTCGACTTCTAAACGCAATTTGATGCTGGATGTCTTGGATCAAATTCCTCGTCAGCCGAGCCCTGTCAGTGTCCCGTTGATTAATAATAGTGGCACATCATCCTCAGGCAGCATCGAAGGTGGGGAATCTCAGTTTAGAAAGTATGAGGGAGGTCTTCCTGATGCTGAGCCTGAATTAACTCCGAAGAGAAATTTGATGCTGGATATCATGCGGCAGATTTCATCTCAAAAGAACTCTACTTACTCTGGGAATTTTGTCAAAAATGTTCGGGCGCCCGAGGGAGACAGAATCGCAGAGGCTTGAGAACCTACGTGGCCAGCTTCCCCTTGTCGCATGAAAATTTTGAGGTCTTCCTCCAGCAAAATAAAGAAGCCGACATGGAAGAAGTAGCGGAAGCCAATCGTTATGAAGATTTGTTTGGCCCGTTGTATGGTAATTCTGGATTGTTAGGAGTCATTTGAGCATGTAAAGCCTTGCTATCATTTAACAGGATTACATTTGGATTAATTTTCGGCAATTATTCTCGTGAGAGTTTGCTTGAGGACCGAGAAAATTAGCCAGAAATTTAAGATTTCTGTGAGCTTCAAAGAAAGGGAGTGTAAATGTCTGCAAGTTAGTCCAAATGGAAATGTAATGCTTGTTCTCGCCTTCGATTTTGTTGAGTTGATTACCAAGTTGTTCAGTACGCTTTTAGATGGAGAGGTAGAGGTTTATTTTACTGGAAGGAGTGGTTAGACAGTTAACTTATTGAAATACACATGATATCGAAGTGAATTATTCGTCTTCGTGATTGACGTTCTTGTGGTGCTCTTACAATCCATTCTGTGTGAAGAACTCCAAGACTTCATGAGAAATATTGATCTGTCTCTTCGGAAGTGAAAGCACACGAGCGGTCATATCACTCAACGATCACAACACGGAGACCCCTTGGCACTTTGCTTTAGTATCGGCTCAACCTCATCTCACAGCTTGATATCGTTGCCGTATCACCTCTGCAGTCCGCAACTTTTACCGTAACTTCATTGTTCTCAATCCATACGACTCGCAAGCACCTCTAATGATCAGAATCCACATTACCAGACTGCAGCTGCTGTGAAACGTGCTTTTATACTATTTTAAGTGGATTCCAGATGGGCGAATCGTGCCAAGATCAAACACATCGGGTGCTTGTTTCCACAAAAGCCGGAAACAGACTGTGAACAGCAACCAGAGGTTCTGAGGGTGATGCTCCTCTGGCGTAATTTCCAAGGCACGTTCATCGATTAGCCAAGGTCGGAGGTTCGTCCGGTCGCTCCGCCAGCTAAAGTTCTGGTGGCACGGGGACGTTAGTGTCTGTTCATCCTATGTCAGTCTGCATGAAGTCTTAAACTCTTTTGCATACATTTGGGCAGTACAGAAAAGTGCACATTAATATTTGGGAACCCAGATATTACTATATCATGTGTGAAAAAAAAAACAAACAAAAACTTGAAATCTCCACAGCCACTTAATTTTTGTTAACAGATTTGATCAGTAACTAAACAAGAAAATTATAATACATATGATATCTCAGACATTTGTTCTATATTTTTAGATTTTTGCATTGGTTTGTATGAATTGCAAAGATATCAAAGAGCATGGCCACAGGTAGCACCAATGCTCACGCCATTGGACAGCGACATTCTCCCGCCTTCAAAAAATTCTCCGTCAAGGCTCGCTTGAGGGTAGGAGCAACCATGTGCAATTTAGGCATTTGGTCGCTAACCTGCTGTGCAAACGCCTTGGTGGGACCAGGCCCGTCCTTGCAAAGGACCTAATTGGTAGCCAATGTGGAGTTGCCACATGGCCTCAAGCCTAGAAAACCTAACCACTTAGCGGGGTTGTTAGGAACTACCAGGCTCAATGCTACCTAGCCGCCTTTTATGTACTCTTTAGGGCCCCACGCCGAGCTTTATCATTTTTCAAGACGCCCAATTGCACTAATCAATAAAAACCACACAGGGACTGCCTTGGCGCATGCCTATTCTGCTACGCCATTCATCAAGCTGGCATAAGCATTGGCGCCAAACTGTGTGGAGACTCTAAGATATTTGCAAGAGGATATGCATATGTATATGTATATGTTTATATTTTATTTAATAAATAAATAAAAAATTAGAAACTAAAGGAACTAACTACAATGATTGATTGATTGACTCATTGGTTGTTATTTATTCAATTATTTAAAGCTAACAAACGTATGTGGAGTTTGTTAAGAAAAACACCTTAAATTTGTACAACAAAATCCAACATTAAAGCTTCGTACTCCACACAAAGAAGAAGATAGGAAAAAACCTCTCAAATTTTGACAAACTTTATTCTCCATCAATATTGAATGGATGGCAAAATATCAACAAAGTTCAAGGAAGAGTTTTATTCATCCATAGGCATGTTCTCACCAACTTAGAACCCATGTGACAATTCTATATAGGAATTTGTTTTCATGGCTTTAGATCCTTTGTGTCGATTATTAAATGCATCATGCGTTTATTTCTATGTCCCAAAACAAGGCCCATCATCGTCTCCATCTTTAATTGTTGGCTTTCAGAGTCACTGATTTTGTTTTGGCAAAGCTTAATTAGCTTGTGTTGCACTAGCTCTGATGCCATATTAAGGCATTTTTCTATAATTTATTTTAATTTTTGGAATCAAATTTATTGTAAGAATTGTATTGAGATTTTTTCAAACTTTGGGATTGACTAGAGTCAATATTTGTATTTTTTTCATGTTATTTTTTGAAGCCTCCTAACTTGGGCAATCCTAGGTTGTAAGAATTATTAAAAAAAGAACATTAATTTAGAGAGATTATTGTTGTCGTACTATAATAGAATAAAATTATGATGGAATTTTGTCATGATTTTACTTGAGATTTGATAGTTTTGGTGGTGTTGGGGATCATTTTGATTGTGGGAGAATTAAAAAAATGTAGCAATGGATATTTTTGTGAATCCTAGTGGAGATAGAAATAAAAATGGAGATATAAATAGATCAAATTTTGTTAAGATTTAGTCCAATTGTGGCTCTATGCTATCTTATTATATATGTTCTTGCTTGAGAATGCACCAACCACTTAATTGTGAAAGGTAAGTTGAAATACAATAATAATTCTACCAAGTCCAATAGAATCTTAAATAAACTTTTAGTAAACCTCAATAATTCTAATCAAACTTTGACCAATTCAAAATAAATTAAAAAAAAAGTTATAAAAGAAACACAAAGAAATGATTTAATCTAAAAAAAATAACAAGAAATTTTTAAGAAATATAAAATTAAACCTTTAAAGAAATAATAATAGTCTTAAAGAAATATTATAAATAGAAAATTTTAAAGAAAAAATAATTCTAAAGAAATACTAAAAATAAAAATCCTAATTGAATTATAACCAATTCCTAGATCAAACCTTAATTGATACCTTAATTGAATCTTAACTAAATTTAAGATCAAATCCTAATAAAATCCTAAATCTTAGAAAAATCCTGAACAAATCCTAATAAAATCCTAAATCTTAAAAAAATCCTAAACAAATCCTAATCAATCTCTAGTTAAGTTCTAAACCAAATTCCAAGTAAATCCTAATCCCAACAAAATTCTAGATGAAATCTTAAGTTCTAACTAAACCATAGACAAATCCTAAATCAAACCTTATAGTAAAATAGAACCTCAACAATTAATAATTGAATCATTAATATCAACTCAATATTTGTATACGTCTTAATATCTTAGTTAAATACAAATATAAGAAAGATGAAATTGATCACACTTATTAATTAAAAGAAATGTAAGATAATCCAATCATGTATTGAATGGTCTCTTATTCCAACTTGAATGTTGAACTTTCAATACCAATATCTCCTTCTTGAATCATTGAATTGCTTTCAAATTTCAACTAAACATTGAAAATTGAGTCTAATATCTATATAAAAAAAATTCACTTCAATCTAATTGAAAAATTCCTAAAGATCTTAGAAATACTCATTGACCCTCAAATTCCAATTTCTAAGACCTCAACCAACAAAAATCTTCATACACTTTGATCTAATCTTTCAATTGATTTTAAAATTTGCACACACATTACAATCAATACACCAACACACAGTCCAAAATTTACCTGTATGCACACAATAGAATTCAAGAAACCTTCAAATTTATAAACATATTTTTATTTCTCAAAATTTAAACCAATTGAAAACATCACTAATTTTGAAAATCCCTCAAAAATTCAATATTTATTCAATTGATATAAAACCAATACTTAAAAATATCTTCTTAAGTTTGCTCTCAAAACCTACTGTTTGATCTACCAAAAAATCCTAAAATTGCTATATGGATGCAAATTAATGCCTCAAGATTTGATTTCAATCTAGTCTGACAATCGGTCTTCTCTAAATATCAATTTTTAATAATTTGAGGTAAGTTTTGTTTTATCCTATTATTATTATTTTTTTAAAAATATGCTTGTATTAATTTCTTACCTCATTTACTTTGACTTGGCTCATTTATGCCTCTACAAAGTAAGTAGAAGTCCCTTCTACAAAATGATAGCATTAAAACTAAATCTTTTACTACCTTTCTATTTTTTATTCTTATTTTTCTAATACATCTTTCTACTAGGCTCTCTTATAATAACATCTATATTTTTATTTTTCACTATAGTTGTGTTACTACATGACAACGCTTATGCTTCTGCTTGTTGAATCTAAAGGATATGGATGTGTCATGGATGTGTCATGGATTGTCAATTTGAGCAGTAAGAAAAAGGTCTTTTGGAGAATGCTTTGATGGCTCTTCATGACAATTTACTTACTAAGGATAAAAATTCAGTTTTTTCATGATTTTTTTGGACTCAATTTGATTATGGAGGGAATAAAAAAGTTATTCATAAAATTTTCTTATTTTAAGCTTTGATGCAATGGATTATCTTTGAATTAAAACATGAGGTAGTATAGTGAGTAGGAAGTATACCATTGATCAGAACAAGCTTTATTTTTGATATGGATATATTAGATCTTTATTGCTTATTAATTTTTGGAAAGTAGACAAAGCTTTTGAAGGTCTAAACAACGATTCTTGATGGTAGTTAAATTTACCTAAAATTGAGTAGATTTTTATTTTATTTATTTATATTTTTTTTGCATTAGTCCATTGATTCAATGGTGCATTTTGCATAGGAGAGTCTTCATTAGAGACCATATTAATATCCTCAAAGATCCCAATAATCTGATTTTTGTCCCATTTTAGTATTTGACGTCCCTACTTAGACGGTGTCATATTACGTGGAGTCTTGCTTGAGAAAGCACCTAGTTGTGAAAAGTAGAATAGAAATTACAACAAAAAAATCTTAACTCTAATAGAACACTAAATACACTCTAATTAAACCTTAACAATGCTAAATAAGCTTTAATCAAATTTAAAAGAAATTCCAAAGAAATTAAAAAATAAATAATAAGAAATCTTAAAAGAATTCAAAAAAAATTTACAATAAACCTTAAAAGAATTCTTAAGAAATTTTAAAGAAATATTAAAATAATCACAAATATATCTTAAATAAATATCAACCAATTCCTAATTTAATCCTAATTAAAATCCAAATAGACTTCAATAAAATCCTAGGCCAAATTCCAAATCCTAAATAAATTCTAAATCCTAAATTCTAAATCCTAAAAAAATCTTAAATCCTAAGCAAATCCTAAATCCTAAATCCTAAATCTTAAAAAAATCCTAAATCCTAAGCAAATTCTAAATCCTAAATCGTAAGC